GTCTGTACCGATTACTTGCTACTTTATGGTTCCCATTTTGAAGATGTGGAGTTACTGTTTGGCTACGCCATCTGTTTCTCATGAGAAGGAGAAGAGTTAAACATTCTATACAAGGCAAAGATTCTTGGGTACCTTGGAGTTTTCCCGAGGGCTTCCCGTAGCACATTTACACACACGCCCACACACACGCCCACACAGTGTTTTTAGATGGTTTTTGGTGTTAGTGGATTTGCTCAAGGTGATTACACCTGTGTTCTGGTTGTGACTCTGCATTACCTGGGCTGGGACACATTGCTTAACTTCTTTCATTCTCCATTCTTGGATCAATTCCAACTGATTCAGTTAAGTAAAATTAAATCAGATGATACATTTACATTTTAAAGAAAAAAGTCCAAGAGAATAAAGCCTCGGATGTATTTTTTTTTTTTGCCCAGAGATTATGATTTTACGTGAGTTTATCCCCAACCCCCCCCCAGTAGCTAGACAAATCCTATGTTAATTTATACATGACTTGGGAACATTCCGATCTAAGAAAACATTGAATTCTTTACAGTGTAACTTGAAAGCTTTTGAAACTCAGGGGAATATGAACTATACATGTAGTCTAATTTCAAAGGGAGAAAATGGATACCAAGCTGTAATTCATGTGGATTAATGTTGAATAAGCAGAAAGCCACTCACATATTAATTCTTTAAGTAAAGCTTTAGACTTAGGACTAACAGATTGAAATGTAGATTAAACTGAAATGTCTGCCTATAGTGCATAGTTCCTTAAAATAGATATATTAATGAGAATGACAATATAATTAGACTAAGTTGGAAGAGAATTGTGATGAACTCACTAATCCCATATACTCATACCTGGGCTTGAATTTAGGGACTTGAACTTGCTCAGATTGTTTGCTCAGCAAACAAGTCTGTAGATTATCTCTTGTTGATTTTACTGGCTGTAAAGAAGCCTTTAAGTTTGATATAATCCTATTTGTGTATTTTTGCTTTTGTTGCCTATACTTTTAGAGTATATTATATTGAAAAGACTCATTGCCCCAAACCAATACAAAAACATTAAATGTACAATTTTGCAATTACAAGATACATACTCAGCTTCTAATTATTTACTGATATAGCTAGTAAAGATTCTCAGATTTTTATACAGAAATATAGAAATATAGAAAATATAAGTGACTTAGCAGAACTTGACAAATTGCAATGCTATGACTTTTAACTCTTTACTGAAATCTAGAATTAATTAGCCCCTTTTATTATGCTTGCTAGTTTTGGAAATATGATCGTTTTTATGACATTATATTTCTTACACATGCTATTCCATTGAAAGTTTACTATACTTTAGCATGTAATAAGGCCTTAAGAGGTTTTTATATTACAGTTTTCCACAATTCTGTTTCTTCCCTATAAAAATATGTAGTTCTTATCATTAGTTTTCCACATTACTAAGGTAATCATTGTAAATCATGTGGATTTAGTAATTTATAATTGTAGTAAAGAAATTCTATTCAAGAAGAATGATTTAGATTACTTTCTGATTACAGCAATAATATTATTTATGACAGAGATACAAATGCTCCAGTTGAATATTCCCATTATAAAATGAAAAAAACTCTAGTGAAAAATATCTTTAAAAGAAGTTATTTATTTTAGCTTCTCTTTCTCTTTTCTCTAGTTAATAAACATTTTCCTCACAGAATCTGTGAATATGAAGAGATGTTAAAAAAATAAAATAATGTTCACATATTAATAAAAAAATCATTATTGTCGGAGCTGGGAAGGTGGCTCAGTGGTAGAGCGCTTGCCTTGCATGCATGAGGCCCTGGGTTCAATTCCTCAGCACCACATAAGCAAAAAGAAAAAAGCCAGAAGTGGTGCTGTGGCTCAAGTGGTAGAGCACTAGCCTTGAGCTGAAGAGCTGAGGGACAGCGCCCAGGCCCAGAGTTCAGGCCCCACGACCAGACCCCCCCCCCAAAATCATTATTGGCTTAAACTTTTAAATTTGAACTCAGCCTCCTGGAATGTCCTTGGACTATTTTGCTCATGGTGAGTGCTCTACCACTTGAGCCACAGCCCTACTTCTGGCTTTTGGGTATTTAATTGGAGATAAGAGTCTCATGGACTTTCCTGCTCCACCTGGCTTGAACTATGATACTATTCTCCTATCTCAGTTTCTTGAGTATCTAGGTTTACAAGTATGAGTCACCAGCTCCTGGCTGTCTTAAACTTTTGTTGTTGTTGTTGGTGGTGGTGGTAGATCTTGAACTCAAAGCCTGGGCACTATCCCTGAACTTTTTCTCTCAAGGTTAGTGCTTTACTGCTTTGAGCCACAATGCCCCTTCTGGCTTCCTGGTGGTTAATTGGAGATAAGAATCTCATAGACTTCCTTGCTAGAGAGGGCTTTGAACCATAATCCTCAGATCTCTGCCTCCTGAGTAGCTAGTATTACAGGTGTGAGCTAGTGGTGGCCAGCTCTGTCTTAAGCTTTTTGATGCGATAATAAAAGCATTTCAACTCAGCTTCTCTGTATATTGAAGATACTCAAATTTTACTACAGGCAACAAATTATATATCTAATCATTTATGTACCTACACATACATCACACAAATACACTGGTTCCATAGAAGCAAAGCAGAAAGGCCCTTTTGTGATAGGAAATGTGGAAGTCAGTAAGTACAAAGAAAAGATGTCTACAAAGAAAACAGAAGAGCCAATGGGAGAAAGATGGACAGTGGACTACATGTGATGGTATGAGGGAGAACAAAGAGAAATAGGGATGGGGGACAGATAAACTCTAAAAGGAAGAGAAGAAGTTGATGCAATAGAGGTCCAAAAGGCAAAGGAGAGAAGGGAAATGAAAGTGTAATGGAGAAGAGAAAAGAAAATAATTGGAAAGAAATGTGGGGAGAGTGAAGGAGGGCGGAAGGGAGAAGGGAAAGGAGGAGAAAAAAGGGAGGAGGAGGAAGGAGAAGGAATAAAAGGTTTAAATCCGTGATCCTCAGTGGTTCTTATTTTTATGATCTCTACAAAGCTCATAAATTTTTTTGCCCTTCTGTTAGATTTTAATGAAAACCCTTTATGATTTTTTTAATGATAGGAGTATAAGTTACATGTATCTTCCTTATTCTGCTTTGAATGTCCTAATAACCTAACAATGAGAAAGTAGCTATCACTAACTATAGCCCTTCCTTAAAAGCTTATCTATAAAGACAATCCCAAAGTATGTTCTAGAACAATTGCATCCTTTGTACTCAGATCATACCCTAGTGTCTTTTGTGAGTCTACCTTGTGTGGGAAATTGAGACCTTCTTCCACTTTGTTGTCTGGCCTAAGCCGATTTTCTTTCGTGATTTTGAAAGGGGAACCATATTTTACCCGGTCACCCTTATCACATAGAACAAGTAAATAGAAAACATCCAGGATATACTTCAGTGAATCGGTGGCAGAAACTTTGCAAAGTGAGCATGTCATTTCATGAGGATTAAATGTTTTTATTTCTGCATATAAATAAGATCTTGGTAAATGGGATGAGTGAACAAGGTGGAATGTGTTTATGTAGACTTAAAAGGCCAACTCCCTAGTAGTTCTGTCCTCCCTCCCTCTCTCCCCCTCCATCTCTGCTCTGTTCCTCCTGATCCACCAACAAGCCCAACAACGTCATGCTATGAAAACATAAAGGGAAATGAATACCTTGAGCACCGTCTGGGTGGTAATGGAAGCAACATGGATGACACTGATTCCCAGCCTCCTCCGTCAACTCTTGGCCCATTTCTTCCCATAGTGACAGCCAGCTTCCTTCCCAGGTGTGCTGACAGACTTCAGTCCAGCCCAAATAACCATATGTAGTTAGTCCACACTCTTCTCCCCCTCCTGCTGCCCACGAATCCTGCCCATGTGCTCTTGAAGTTACCAAGGCAAGATCACAGAATGAATCATAACTTCTTTCTGTTCCTCTTCTCCTGGGAAAGGTCATATTGATGGATTCAAATGTTTAATCCTCAATTAAAAAAATCTTACTGATTTCCTTTAGTGCTATTCTAATTTGAGTGTTTGTGTGTAGCTTTATGAACATGTTATTTTTCTGACAATACTCATGGAATGACACCTGGTTTCGATTATTTGTGAGATTTTAACATTTATATTTTTAAATGATCTTTTTATTTAAGTGGTTGTCCAGAGGGGTTACCATTCAGTTTTATCCGTACAATGCATTTTGATCAATATCACCCCTTTCATGATCCTTCCCCATCCCTCCCAGTCCCACCCCACCCCTCAATTTTCCTAGGAAAGTTTCCTAGGATATGGGTTGAATTTTATGATGGCATTCTCTCCCACTTCATTCCTTTACCCCACATCTCCTGGACTTTCCCATCTTTTAAGTGCCAGCTTTCTAGTATTCATTTTGTTGAACTGTGAGGTTTTTCTTTTTTTTGGAATTAGAAAAGTGAATTGTCTACTAATCTAGTCAGTGCTACTTTTTCCCTGAACTAGAACTGATGAATAAACGACTTACATAAAGCCAAACAATTACTGTGGTTCAGCTGAAGTTTCTGTATTTATTATTTGGAAGGAAGATTATTTTAATAACAGTTAAAGGTAGTTATTTTGCCAGATGGATTTATCTTAATTCTAATATTATTAAGCAAACTGAAAGGTTTGGAATTGGCCCATAAATCACTTCTATCATGTACCTGCGAGTACTTCTATCTTGAAGAAAACTTGTTTTCCTGTCTCCCTTTTCAGTGTTTTCCTTTTTCACTGTAGTCTTTAGAACTTGGCTGAAGGAGATACAAAGCAATTGTGTTTCTATGCTAAACCATGATGTTTACCCTGGTGATGAATCAGATTAAAATTCATTTGTACGAACAGAGTTAGTCAGTAGAGTTAACAAAGCATTACTTGTTCATCAAATCGATGATGATGATGATGATGTGATGATTGGCCAACTTGCTACGGGAAGAGTACTGACAGAAATTCCATGTCAATTTCACAGGTGATGGAGATCAAGGGACAGATGATCCACGTCCCAGAATCAAATTCCATTTTGTTTTTGGGCTCACCGTGCGTGGACAAGCTGGATGAGCTGATGGGCCGAGGCCTGCACCTTTCAGACATCCCTATTCATGACGCCACCCGAGATGTCATCTTGGTTGGCGAGCAAGCGAAAGCTCAAGATGGCTTGAAGAAGAGGATGGATAAATTGAAGGCCACTTTAGAAAGAACTCACCAGGCCCTGGAAGAAGAGAAGAAGAAGACGGTGGATCTTCTCTACTCGATTTTTCCCGGCGACGTAGCCCAGCAGCTGTGGCAGGGACAGCAGGTGCAGGCCCGGAAGTTTGATGATGTCACCATGCTCTTCTCTGACATCGTTGGTTTCACTGCCATCTGTGCCCAGTGTACGCCCATGCAAGTGATCAGCATGCTGAACGAACTCTACACCAGATTTGACCACCAGTGTGGATTTCTGGATATTTACAAGGTAATGGCGGTTTAGCTGCTGGCACCTAAACCCTGCTTGAGAGCAAACTGTCATCTCCATTAAGTTGTAAGGATACACTTGTCGCTTAAACTTCATAGCAAATGCCCCACGTATCTTTAATTTAGCAGTGTCTATACAGAATGCAGGATTGACTGCTTTGTGAATAAACTTTCATACTGAGTCAGCTCATAGTATCCACGAAGGTAGCTATGAATTGTGACATTTCTCAATAGGAAAATAAAAAACCTTTCCGTACAGTTCTCTAAATTCATGACTATTAAAAATTGAACTTATAATCATTCTAGGCACCTTTGGGCCAAATATCTTGCATAGAGAATGAGACTTCTTTATAAACAAAGAATTTCATGTTGAGAGGTAAAAGGAAACACGTTAAAATATGCATGACTTCATGGGTTCAACCATGGGTAAGCAGAGTTGTCTACTCTACCACCCATTAGCTGAGATCACTTCAACTCTAAAAGAATAGGTGTAAATACTTCCAGCTCCTGCCTGAATGACTGATGAGTTTTAAAGGAAATGCCTTCATATTTCAAGTTACATAATAAAGAGAATGTTAGAGATTGAGTAGCACCAAAACACATGGCACCTAGGAGTGCAGATGTCAGGCGGAAGTCACTGAATGCTATTGACTAGTAGTGGGTAGAAGATGGGGTGGGGGGGGGATGAGTATAAGCCAGGGCTCCCTCGGGTCAAAGGACAGTATGCGCATGTGTGAAATTTCATATGAAACCCCTTTGAACAAGTAACATACATCAGGAATGGAAAGCACATCCTGTCCAGAGCTTGTAGAGTTGGTGGAAGGGTGAACAGAGAGGGCGAGGGTGGGCAAAATACTTCATGTACATGTGTGAAAATGGAACAGTGAAGCTTGTTGGGATTGTTTTGGAAATGGGGGAGATGAGAGGGAGTGAGGGAAGAGTGAGTCTAATCAAGGTACATTCTGTACAGGCAGGTTAAAAATGAACCCCCCCCTCCACCTTGTACAACTAATTAATATTTTTATAAAAGGAGAAAAAAGGAAAAATTTCAAATGGCATAACAGCCACCATTTATTGATTTGCTGTGGCAAACTACTCATTTCTTGTTAGAGTCATAGCAATATATTGAATTATTTATTCCCAGAGCTACCTAATAAGTAACTGCAAGTTTACGTGGAATTTCATATGGATTTCACAATGTCAGAGAGAATTGCTTTTTTAAAAAAATATGAAAGACAGCAATTTCCTTTCATATAAAGAGTGATCTGTAGGTGTTTACATTTTCTTCTTTACTGATCTGTGCAGACCTGCTGCACAGATTACGATTAGCCCCAAATCAGATTTGGAAAGAGCCCATTTTATTTTGTAGGTTTCAGATTATGCTCCAGAGGTTGTATCTTTTTGGAGTGAGGAAGTCTTATAGATACAACGCACACTCACACACTCGATGGTTACTGTTTTAGTTGAGCCTCTCCCTCCCCTTCTCTCTTTCTCCCTCTCTGTCTCTCTCTCTCTCCTCTCCTCTCTTTCGTCAGTTGTGGGGCCTGGGTGCTGTCCCTGAGCTGCTTTTTGCTCAAGGGTAGTGCTCTATCACTTTGAGCCATAGCTCCACTTCCAGTTTTCAGGTGGTTCGTTAGAGGTAAGAGTCTTATGGACTTTCCTTCCCTAGCTAGCTTTGAACCCTGATCCTCAGATCTCAGCCTCTAGGATTATAAGCATGAGCCACCAGTACCTAGCTCGTTGAGCCTTTATTGAGTAGTAAGCTTTCATTGTGAAAGATGGATGAACGATTTCCCTTATGAAATAAGAATTTGTATAAATTACCTTTCGCTTCTGTATAATTTATCACAATAATTTATAGGAGAGTTAGCCAAATGTCTTTTTTTCCCACTTTGAGTGTCTTATTTTTTAAAGCCAGATAGATATATTGAATCCTTCTCAGAAAAGTGAGGAAATTAGCCTGCATTTGCCAGCACTTTTAAACTTGCTCCAGCCTTGGGGCATTACTATAGCAATCCCTGGAGCCAGGAACTTCTCCTAATTCATAGATTTTATCCGTGTTAGGTTCTTGCAGGGAAAACTGTCACAGTGCTTTTGTTTCATTTAGCCTGATGTTTATATTGTTAAATGAGAAAGATGCATAAGCAGATTCACTTGCGAAGACATGCTGGAATCTCATCGTTAAACCCACATACCAGGGTTTGAGACAAGAATGGTAATAGTCCAGGAGTTTGCAAAGCTGTAGTGCATCTCTAAGAGTATGTGACTCTTCCTTGACATCTTTCCTGTGTGTCAAAAGGCAGATGGCAGCTTTTCCCTTCCTTCCTCCTCTGTAGGCGTAGTCTACCGGGTACAGGAGGGAAATCAGTGATTCCAGGTGCAGGCAATGAGGAGCACATTTTTAAAAGAAGAAACTGAAGCTGAGTGCACGTGGCTCTCACCTGTCATCTTAGCTACTCAGGAGGCTGAGATCTGAGGATTGTAGTTTGCAGCCAGTCCCAGGCAGGAAGTCCATGAAATTCTTATCCTCAATTAACTATCTTCCCCACCTCCCCCCGCCCAGAAAAAAGCCAGAAGTATAGCTGTGGCTCAACTGATAGAGTGTTGCTAGCCTTGAGAAAGAAGCAGGGACAGTGCCCAAGGTCCTGAGTTCAATCCCTGGCCTGTCACAAAAGGAAAAAAAATGCCACAGAAATGGAATAAATTCTTATATAATCTTTAAAAATCATCTTGTTCCATGAATGTCTATAAAAATTATTTTAGTGATAAAATGCTTCCTACTGTTGGGCTGAAGGTGTATGTAGTGGGGTGGAATTCCTATGATAAACCCCAATGTGGTCTTATGTATTAATTTATTTATTTTTGCTGGTCCTCGGGCTTGAACCTGGGGTCTGGGCTCTGTCCCTGAGCATCTGTGTGTTCAAGGCTAGCGCTCTACCACTTAGCCACAGAGCCCCTTCTGGAATTTTCTGAGTCGTTCATTGGAGGTATAGGTCTCATGGACTTTCCTGCCCAGGCTGGCTTTGAACCGTAATCCTTAGAGCTCAGCTAGGATTACAGGCGTAAGCCACTGGTGCCCAGCTCCAGTGTGATCTTTAACTCTCCATGGAGGCAAACATTGAGTCTTGACTGTCAAGCCTGGGTTAGCAAAAGAAAGAGCAAAAAACAACAACAACAACAAGAGGAGGCATCCAGGAAACACCACAACCACAGTTCTGTGAGACCAAGAAGTCTGATCTTGAGACTCTGAAAAAATTCCAAGTATCCTAAATCTGACTGGAAGATCAGGAAAACAGGAAGGAGTCAAAATCCAAGTACAGTCTTGCATATGAGCCCTTGCAACTGGGCACCAGAGGGCCATATTACAGGAGCTGGAAAGCAGCCTGTCCAAATACAAAGATAAAGAGGGGCTTTGGGATAAATGATACAAAAGCAGAGTCTAGGCCCTGGCTAGGACCAGGCTTGGGGGCCAAGAACACACAGGACACCACCACAGAAGCAAAGGGAAACAAGTATTGCAATTTCCCTAAGGATGAAGAGACATCCACTGGGCCTTTACAGAACTAAACAGAGGGATTTGACCCACAAAACATGAGGCCAATTCTTATATCCTTTCCTTAGAATGCAAAGCACCTAGTATGGATACTCTTGGGCTTAATCCAGTTTGAAAACTGTCAGGAGGTAGCTTGACTTGTGAAAATCTCCTAATGCCAATATGACTTTATAAGCACCAATTCTCCATACATGCAGCATAATAAGAGGGGTTATGAAAGCCATTAAGGCCGTGTGCATTACATTTCAGTAATGGAAGTACATTGTTCTACTTCATTACTATAGACTCCAATTAGCTGTAATTCCTTACCTACTTTGTAGGAAGCAAGTCTGTATGTTCTGTCATACTATGTATCTGTTAACCACAGTCCTTAGGCTGGGAGTGTTTATGAAGTCCAGAGTTTATTCTCTTAGTGGGCTCTTGCTCGTGGTGCTAGCATGTGGCATGGCCTTGGATCTGCATCCTCACAGGGCAGGAGGCTGAAAGGGAAGAATACTCACTCCTGCAGGTTTTCTTCATGGTGGCACGTAGCTATCGGTAAGAGTGGAATCCTCACCAGCCTGAAACTTGTCTTTGGGCCCCATCTTCTGACATGGTGGTTCTCAAGTTCTCCACTTGAGTGATGAAAGACACAATCAACCCTTAGCACATTCTGAAAATGAATGTTAGAAATTCAGAAATAGTGATTAAAAACTAACCATTTTAGAAAGGTTTATCAGTTCATTTTTGAGTGAACACAGATCAACTGGTAGGAAATAAATATAACTAATCAATGGATACAGAAGTGAATATTATTATTATTTTATTGTGAAAATACTGTACAGAGGGGTTACATTACATGGGCAAGGTAATGAGTATATTTCTTATCAAGCATTGTAGCCTCCTCTTTTGTTTTCCCTTCCCATCCCTTCCCATCCTCCCCCCCCCAACTCAATCCTCCCCCCCCAAAGTTGTAAAGTTCGTTTTCGACATAACGACTTGTATATCTCATTGTTGCAATGGGTCCACCTGTATCCCTATTTAAACGATTTGTTTTTTCCCTTCCCCTCCACAAATTATACCGACATCAAATACAGTGAAAGCAGGGGTTATACCATGGGGGAGGGACATACAAAGCAACAAAAATATAATCTTATAAATAGAAGTGAATATTATTATTGGGAAATAGATACATAGAGATAAATATGCATCATAGAGAGGTTTCTACATCCGTTGATCGGTGTCTGCTGCGAGCATGTTTGGTAACTTCCCAGGGAAGCTGCTGTGTACCATCCTGAGCAAGACCCTAAAGGCTTTGCGCAGATACACTGGGAGCATCAGCATTTGCATGAAGAGCCAGGACAGGCTGAAGTCTTCATCTTTTAACTTGCTTGGTAAAAGATGAAAGCCGACATTTCTCACAGGAAGTGGCAAGGGTTAGAAAACTTTATGCCTCAGGAGTTTTGATT